TGAAGAGCAAATGCGAAAATTTAGAATTAAGATGCTTTTATTACTTGAGGAAATTCAGTCAGACCAATCATATCCGCCACAACAATACAAAGACAATAATTATTCTTAAATATCATCTGTACATTCTACAAATGCATCGATACCTCCAATATATCCAATCAATTATTCTGTAAATATAAATTCTACTGATTTATCACAACTGGATAACTTTACAAACTTGTAATTGGTACTTTAAACTACGTTTTTTTTTCTGATATTAAAATTCATTTAATCCTGGGCCCCATTTCATATACAATACTAATTACGAATTTTCATCTTTTAAATATAAAAATAACTGATAATATTTGTTCGGTTCAAGAATAGCTCGTAGACTATTTTTCTCAGAAGATATGCACGCGGAGCGGAAATTTTATCTTTATATTAGTAGACTTTATTTATATGAAACAGGGCCCTGGCCACAATAAGTAAATAGGTAGGATTCTATATTTAAATTATAACTTACCTCAAAGTTTTAAGTATCCTTTCTTCTGGACTGACACATGCTCGCATTGCAGTATTTTGTCTTTGTATCAATGGTCCAACAGAAGAGACTAAATTTTGGTACGTATGTTTGGTAATTCGGAAAATGATTGAAATACAGAATCGTCTTCTGATAACTCTCTGGCAGCAACAAACAATCTACAATTTATATTTCTTTCGATGTATGGATGAATCCAGTACTTTCTTCGCCTGTTCCGTCGTCTTCTAATAAAATTGTATGCTATTATCACTTCATCATCATCACTTGATATTTTTGCAACAAAAGAAGTGCTTTCTCGATGCTAGTTGTAATAAAACTGAGACGTTTTAAAGCGTGACTGACTATTGCATGAAGCAGCGTGGACATATCAAATATGCAAAATACGCCTATCTTCATTTGTAGGTTACATGCATCCTACAAAAGACGACTGTGTGCCCTTAATTTGTTAATATAAATTTAAAATTTTTACTTAAAACCACCTAAAAATTTTTCTAATATGCACATATAATATTCCTATACTATTTTATTATTATATGTGTTTACGTATAACTAATGTTTTAGAAATTTATGAAATGGTCGATTACTGTAACTAATAGGTACTCAATGAATTTATAAAAAATATGGTTCTAAAAGTCATAACAATTTTTTCAGGGCCAAGCATCGCCACATTTTTGGAGCATAATTATAGCAATTTATTGCTGCCCAAAATATGTCATGGCTCCTATTGATAATTATAATTATATAATAGTCCTGTGAATGAATGCTCAAAAGTGGCGTCTAGATGGAAAGGTCGAAAGCAGCAAGTTCGGAACTTTGTTTGAACTAGTTAGGAGAAAAACACACCGAAAGTTTGAAAAACGGTTAATTTTCAAAAATACGATTTTTACTTCACGTTATTTCAAAAGGAACAATTATGGTCAGACTAAGTCTGTCTGTCTGTCTATCTGTCACAGCTGGATATCTCAAGAACTACCAAAGCTATCAACTTGAAATTTGGAATAGTCTTAGGTGACTTACTTTGCCCAACAATTTTTCAAATAAGAGAGATATCAAAATATGTATGTTGTTTTGGTAACAGAGACTGAAAGGGTTCTTAAACAATCGAAATGGGTTACCAGGGTATGTGGGGTATCATAAAAAAGCGCGCTGCTTGCACATTCTGAAATGAAAATCTTCTTTTTTATGACTGCATTTTGATGGAAATGAAAAAAAACCTTTTCCCCCGTATCTCCGAAGTTTGCATAGAGAAAAATCTGAAATTATTTTCTGTGATAGAAATTTATGGTTTAGTAAAGACTTCGGAAAAATAAAACGATGTCTCTAAATAGCATACATTTTCAAAAATAATAAAAAAATTATTATAACTTTTTTGCGGTGGATCGCGATCTATGTCGAAGTATGAGGACAACAGTTTTTCAACCGCAAAGTTAAGTTTGTTTCTGTTATTTATATTGTATTTATTTTTCAAAAAATCTTCATAGTGGTGTTATATATGACTCGCTGTTGACCGGTTTTTTTCATGCATTTCTCTATATCTTGCAGAGTATTGAGTTTGTCAGAGTTAATATCCACAGACCCTGCAGTTCCCGCAAGCTTCGGAGGCATTGAAAATGAATTTAAGAATAAAACAAATTTTGCGAAAAGAATTTTTAATTTGCCACTGAAACATCCAGAATCTTTGTCACGGTCACCGTCGCTGTTGTCATCGATGATAGCGAATTTCACGAAACGCGATTTTTGGACTACTCAGCAAAAATTCTCACATCTTCATCATTCATTGTCTTCTGACATTTTCAACAATTTCGGCCGTTTTTACTTTTTTCACGCTCATAAAGGCACACCTACAGGACACAATTATTAACCAATTTCACTCGGAGAGGTCTCAATCGACGCGCAATCTATCTTCGAAGATGTGTTTTCCTATTTTTTCAATATACGTAATAGTAATTTTTTAATTAATAACTTACTAAAAAAAGATATAATTTTCTTCCTGATATTTTTTCAATTTTCAAAATTTCTCAAAAACTATCTAGCCAATTTTCAACATTCCTTCACTATCCGATCCACAATTAAATTCTGAACCTGTAGACACTTCCATAGCGAAATCTTTATTATCCTTGGACATATAGTGAAAATAGCGTATGGGCCGAAAAGGATTTGATAGACATATGCTTAGTTACATTTTTGTAGGTTGTATTTGTACCTTGGACAAAGTCTAAAAAGTTTTTTTTTTCCAGATAAAACAGACAGGAAGCCTATTTGGACGCTCAATAAATATAAAAATGAGCAAAACCAAATAAAAGGTTTAAAACGACAGATAAAGGTGCTTAGACAGCGGTGCAATACGTTCAGATTAGAAAGTGCATCTAAAATGACTGAAGACAAAGCATTACAAAAAGCATGTCTTCTGCTGCAAAATTATTTACAAATATGCAGTATAAACAAACTGCTAAGAAACCGTCTGGGCGGAGATTCTCATTAGAGGAAATTTTTTTATCTCTTTCCCTGTATAAAAAAAAGCCCAAAGTTTTATGCCCTTATGACCCACATTGCCGTCAACAAAAACCCTAAAAGCAATTCTAGCTCAGGTTAAGTTAAGACCAGGTATAAATAAAAGTTAAAAAAAAACTGTTAAAGATATTGAATGTTCAAGAGCGACTCTGTTCTTTAATATTTGATTAGATGCATATAACGCTACAAATAAATTTTGACATGGCTAACGATAAATTTAAAGGTTTTGTGAGCATCCCCCATGCTAAATTGCAGACCATGTTTGTGTAGCGAAAATAGCAAAATTGCAAGTGAAAATGATAGCGAATTGCAGATCATGTTTTAGTTTTTATGGTGAAGGGTTTGAAAGCCAACTTTAAACATCCAGTAGCCTACTTTTTCATAAACGCCTCACAAGAAATAAATTAAAAAATATTATAGAAGACGTAGTTCAAGCGATACAAGCTACTGGTTTGATTCCCCTATGATCAGTCTGCGATTAAAGCTCAGTAAATGTTGGAGCTATTACAGACTTAGTAAAAACTAAAGCTGTGGTTCTGCGACAAGGAAACGAATGGCGGTATGATTATTACGAAATTAAAAAACTTTAAATTATACCCCTCTAAGATGTGAAGGTCTGCGTAATAATTTATTGACGAAAGATTTACTGGATAAAGATACAGATGATGACAGTAAAGAGAAAATTGTGAAGTGGGAATATTTTAGAAATATTAAGAAAGCTGACTTAACATTTGGGGAACTTCGTTTATTGCATAAAATAACGGAAGAACATATAAACCCTGAAAAAATAAAAAAGATGAGGGTATAACTAGCTGCTCAGATATTTAGTCACAGTGTGGCAGTTGTGACTGAACATCTAACAGCGCGAGGGATTTTAAAAGAATGTCGCCATTTAATTCCTCTGGTCGCATTGGTCGACAATTTGTTTGATACTTTAAATTCTAATTCTTTTTACATCCCTAACGGGAAAATTTATAAAGGATATGTAAAAAAAACGTCACCTCATCATAGACTTTGGGCGAAAGCTAAAATTGTATAAAAAAGCGTTAAGTTTGTTATAACTAAAAAGACCGGTGATCAAATTCGGTTAGTAATAAACAGTGTACAAACCACAAATAATTTTATTAAAACTATAGAAGGATTTGCAGCCTTGTGGTACATTTTACGACCTTTTAATGGTCACGCTCGACCTCTCTCCTGAGGGGAAGAAAATATTCAATATTCGATCTATATGTCATCTCTCCAACCTTAAAGTAGAGCCGCCGCGAAAACGCAATATAAAAGGACAATGTTGACAATTATGTGTCAACTATACGGACACTGTCCGTAACTGTTTTGCACTGTTATGCACGTCCGTGTTGTGTTAATAAATGCACAGAAAGTTACGCGACGAAGGACTGTCCGAGACCCAAAATTCCATCAGTAGATAACCCACCGAGCTGCATTCTCTGTGGAAGTGGTCATACCGCTAATTATCGCGGTTGCCCCAAAGCTCCTTCGAGAGCGTCGCTCCGCAACAAACACCTAGCCAAAGTAGCTACCAACCGCACAGCTACAAAGGCCGCAACCGTCACAACCCCACCAGCAGCAGCATCATCGGCCTCCCTTCGGCCTACTCCTCCGCCTAATGCCTGGCTTAAATCCCCCTCGATAGTCAAAAAATTACCTCCTCCACCTCCCGCTATCGCACACCCTCCGGCAAACCCCCCCGCCGCTTTAACACCCACTCACACGGCTACCGACTCCTCCATCTCTGTGGGGAGGAGCTGGGAATTAAACTAAGAATGGTTCTGGGCAAGCCGATGGCTATGACCCAAATATTCTCAAACACTGAGCCCTAATTGACACCAACCGGTCTCTAACTATTAAGGCCCACTAATGGCTAATACAAGGATAAAACCCCGTTCCCTCACTTTAGCCTTCTATAACGCTGACGGCTTCATCGGTCAGTATATAGAAATTGCAAATTACTTAGTCGAACACTCTATAGATATCTTGCTAGTGAAGATGTTCCTGATTTTCCAGACGTTAAATAGTATTCAGAACATGTGCGTGAAAGCCAATACTTGCTTCAAATTGTAAAATGTATAAATACAGAATGCTGTCAGATTACTAGACAACAGGTTTCTTCCACCACCTGTAAAAATAAAACAAACAGTTGATGACTTGGTTTTGAATGAAGGAGGGCAATTTTTTTGATCTTCCAGTCAATTTAGCTCTACGCTTAAGTACTTCACTCAAAGATTTCCTGCAAATGCCCTACGATTATTTTTGTCCGACGGTAAAATTGAGGCTATCAAGTCGAACATGCAAAACGTGTGGTCTTTATCATGCTTCCGTCAAGTCACTAAATCGTCACATCGAGAAGATCCATAAAAAAGTAAACACGCACACTGGTAGGAAAGTTAGACCTTTAAGAGTCGCTACTCGTCGTGCTAATGAACTGATGTGCATTGTTCAAAATTTAGAGCTCCATGATATTGAATAGCTCGATGAGAACGACGACGTTACCGTGAGAGAGCCACGCTTCGGCATGAATGGGCCGGCTCGACTGGAGTGATACCACGGCCTCACAGAAAACCGACGTGAAGCAACGCTTGCGTAGTGTTTCGTCGTGTGAGTCCAACCCCTCCCTATTCCCTTCCCTCCCTATGATCATATTCGTCCCTCAAAGACCGGCAGCGCGCTTGTAGCCCCTCTGGTGTTGCAGGTGTCGGTATCACGACGATGGGCGACGGTAAACACTTACCATCAGGTGATCCGTCTGCTCGTCTGCCCCCTATCCCAATAAAAAAAAAGAACGTAGACATTTCAAAATCGGATGAAAGTGAGCAGACTCACAACACAGCAGCAATCCAAGCAATCCAATGTCATCGAAAACTTACACCCGTATTCACAATCAATATTTATCTAAGTAAAGTACAAACACTATGCGAAGTAAGGCATTTCTCAGTGCGATCTTTATACCAAACCGTTTAATTCCTAAACAATACTTAAACGACACTTCACTATGCGAACGCACTGTGTCGGATAGAGTTTTGTGATTGGTTCGTTTGTGTTGCGTAGTTTACTACGATCTTTCTGACTGACGTTTCATGTTAAAATATTATAACCTAAAACGTTTCTTCCAGTTATTTAATTTAAATATATGTTGTGGTGATTTATAATAAATAATTATGGACATAATTACACTTTGACGTTCATCAAGCATAACTGTCAGATTAGTAGGAATATTGTATTCGCTGTATTTAGTCAATCTATTGTGATAAGAAATAACGTGTTATTAAAAAAATTTATTTTGCAGTTCGAAGAAGTTGCCTTTCTCTTCCTCCGAGAGAGAATTAATTGTGGCTTTAGTGCGTGAACGGCCTATCATTGAAGATAAACGTACAAATGCTAAAAATATAGAATTAAAGAAGCAGGCTTGGGAGGATCTGACTGTGGCCTACAATTCCCAACCATACGTCTCACAAAGACACAGTCAGCAATTAAAAAGATGCTGGGAGAATATAAAAACCCAGAGAAAGAAAGTGCTGTCCCAGGAATCAACAAGTATGAAGCGTACTGGTGGGGGACCCCCAGAAAGTGGCTCAATATCAGATAATATCATTGATGCAATTTGCCCTTTTATTAATTTGAGAGTTAATACCAATTCAAAAGAAAGTATGGCTACAACATCAATATAAAGAGTTGTTTTCCTTAGCCACCTATAAATAAAAACTAAATCTTACTTTGTTTTCAGTTTAAGATGATGTAAAGATTTTACAGAAAGAAGGACTTAAAAAGACCCCACCCCAAAGCTTCAAAGTACAGCTGTAGAGAGTATGTATCTTACTTTGATTTTAATGAATTATTTATTTATGTTATGTATAAATCATATATAAATTATGTAACTATTTTTCAGTTTGTGATCTGAGCGTTCAGAATGGGGCTAGTAATTTGATGAGGAGACCATTCTTTAATTTTCTAGATGACATGGATGAAAATGTTTGTCCACGGCCAAAAAAAAATGTAATAAAGAAACTTTCTGTACTCCCACTAGTAAGTTATATTTAAAATATACCTAACATATTTTCAAGGCCACATTATATTGAGTATACTTTCAAATATGTAAAAGAAGGCATAGATTATCTACTTTTAATATAAGTTAACTTTAGTTAATGTGCTTTATCATTATTAAAAATAATCTTTTAGAATATGAGAAGAAACTACAAAATTTACAAATAGAAAAACTTTAGTTAGAAATGTAAATATTAAAAAAAAACTTGAAAATTAGATAAATTTACATTTTATAATTTATTTTATTATCACCCTATTTCAAAAATGTCTTGATATAAACATTCTTCTAAAAAGTAGACCTTCTCTATTTACTTGAGGTACATTTGTGGCGGATCGTGATATATTTCTTATCTCACTCTCAATATCTTTAATAACACCATGAGCCCTACAAATGTTATATAACACGGCAGTGGCAACAATTATATGGCATGCTGTAGTTAATTTTGTAGCCATCTTTTTAAATAGGTAAGGAAATATCCTCTTCCAGACACCTGTAGTTCTTTCTACAGTGTTCCGTGTTTTAACGTGTGCATTATTATAGTTCTTTTCAGAACTGTTTTCAGGTTGTACCACTGGTGTCAATAAATATCTTTGATAACTATACCCGCTAACCCCTAAAAGTATTCCGTTTATAACACCTTGTTCCATTTTACATTTCAGAACTGAAGCTTGAAATATTCTGTTGTCATGTACATATCCAGGTCTATCGGCAACTATGTCATAAATCTGTAAATCAGGCCCACATAGAATATGAGTATTAATAGCCAAGATTTTTTTTCTATTCCTAAACACTTCTGCATATGTTCCACCTGGATTTTGAATAGGAATGAGGCTACCGTCAATAGCTCCTATTATACCTGGAAAACATACAACGCTTACCCCCCCACTGAGAACAACCGATAGCTAAACGTGCTGGAGTTTCCAAGTCGGCGGTAAACAAAATAATAAAAAGAAAAATGAACAAAATCAACCACTTTCGCCTAAACGAAAAGGCCATAGTGGAAGAAAAAGAATTACAACTTGGATGATTCGGGATATTTGTCAGGGAAACAGAAAAAAGGGTGCTGGACTCTTAACCTAGTTAGTTCAAGAGTCAGGAATACAATTTTCTGAGAGAACGGTACAGCGGATATTGGCAGAAGAAGGCTTGTTAGATCATCACTCTGTCCTCACTTAACTGAAGCGATGAAAAAAAAATTTTGTCTGGGCTAAGGAACACCGCCAGAAGACTATTGAGAACCGGAATAAGGTCAGTTTTGAGTTTCACTGCAATTTCACGATATGTAAAATAATATTTTTTGTCCAAAAAATTAAAAATATTTCCTTATTTAGGTGTGTTTCGCTGACGAGTCGACGTTTGAGATTTTGACTGACTAGAGCAGTTTTGTCAGGCGACGCCCAGGAGTAAAATGTCACCCTGACTGCATCGTGAAGAGAGTAAAACACACGTCAAAATAATGGTGTGGTCTGTAATAAGTGCTAATGGGGTTGGAAGCCTCTACATTGATCAGGATACCATGAGACAGGACCAGTACAGACAAGTTTTACAAACTCGCCTGTTACCACAACTGGAAGAGTGGTTCCCTGATGGAGAAGATTTCATGTTTATGCATGATTCAGCTCCATGTCATAGTGCTAGAAGCATTACCAAGTTTCTAGCAGACAATAATATCTCAGTTGTACCCTGGCCTGGCAATTCTCCAGACATGAACCCCATTGAGAATTTGTGGGAGATTACCAAGGCAAAAATTGCCAAAGCAATGATAACTACCAAAGTACAACTGATAGAAAAGTTGATAAATGTCTGACACTACAATCCGAAAATAATAGAAAGTGCCAAACAATGTATTGCAAGCATGCCCAGACGTATATAGACACTCATTGACGCAAAAGGAAATGTCACCAAGTACTGATAATTAAGAAATAACACAAGTTTTTTTTATTTATTTTGAATTTATAGCTTAATTTTAATTTTTTTGTTCTTTATTTTATTTGTGAATAGTTATCTAATAATATTTAAATATATTTTTAAAATAAAAACTTTATCACTCTATTTATTCCCAACTAAAAAATTACGAAAACGATATTTTGTGACTGTCCCTAATAATTTGGCAACCCACTGTAATAGGATTGAAGATTTCATTTTCTCTAATAAGATTATGATGGAGGAACAATTCGGCTTCCGTTCTAGTCATTCGTGTAACTATCAACATACTGAAGCTATTTATAATGATTATGATAAATCACCGGCTAATCGAACATATTTGCTATTATTGCGACTTCCTTAAGCTTCAAGCTCTATCACCTCGGCCTACCAAACAGACTCGTGCACATCATTCGAGACTACTTGTCTGAGAGATCGTTTCGAACGCTCTCGTCTTCCCGCCCGATTCACGCCGGCGTTCCGTAGGGCTCCGTTCTGTCTCCATTGCTTTTCGCGCTTTACGTCAATGGCATGCCTAGAACTCCTCAAGTCCATTTATCGCTTTTTACTGATGACTCTACACCTCCGATAAGCCACCACCACCCTTGGCAAATGGTTTCGCAAGTTGCGTGTCGAAGTTAATCCGGGAAAGAGTGCTGCTTTGCTTTTTCCATTTAGAACTAAGGTAATCGACTCTAATTCTCTCCTCGCATCCGGCTATTCGCTCAGCTCATCCCCTGGGTCGAGCAGGTCAAATACTTGGGTGTCACGTTAGACAGTAGATTAACGATTGCACCTCATATTAGGTCAGTCCGTGATCGCGCCGCTTTCGTACTAGGTAGGCTTTACCATCTCATCGGCAAGCGTAGAAAATGTCACTTAGACATTAGCTGACAATTTACAAAGCCTGAATTCGACCCATTATGACCTACGCTAGTGCTTGCTTTGCCCACGCAACTCCTTCGCTCCTCAAACCATTCCAAACTCTCCAAAATTGCTTTTTACTCGGTGCCGTAACATAGACCTCCATCGTGACCTCCGTTTAGAGTCCATCGCCTACTTCATGAAAGAAGCCTCAAGACGCCACTTCGACGTAGGATCCCACCACTCCAATCTGCTTATTGCTAAAGCTTGCGACTACCTAACAGCCGTCATCCACCCCCGCCAAACGCGACTCTTCCGTCGACCCAAACATGTCTTGGACTATTCCGACGACCCTATCACTCTAGCCAACCCCCCTCAGACAACAACACATAACACACACGCGCCGATAGGCCCGCGACACCGCACTCACCGGTCACGAGTGCGACGACCCGGTCTACACAGTACGCGAATCACCAGGTACAGACATGTGCCTGGGCGTTTCTCTCCGCCCTCCAGGGCACGGAATAATTAGAGCCGAGGTCCGAACCTTTAGAGGCGGGCGTCTAGTCAACGTCCGACACGAGAGTCCAGGGCGATTCAATGACGGAGCGGAGACGCCTCCCCGTGGGGTGATGCCCTCCATGTAGATAGTCTCGAAGACGGTCGTCATCTCGGCTTGAGGTCCTAAGGATCTCGCCGTCCCTTACTCCGGTTACCCTGTAAAGACCATCTGAGGCCAACAGTAAGACACCTTCAACAAAAAAAAAGCAACGTGAAAAAAGTGAAACAGCCTATCGCACATTATTTATCAAGTAGTTTTTCAACGGCTGATAGACTTGTTATAGTCGGGTCACACACACTAAAGGAATCTGCTGACATATAACATCGTTGCACACGGTCCCATTGTTGGAGTGACCGAAATATTACCAAAACTGCTGATGCAGCGGCACGTGGAGCAACAACGGACGTGGAGGCAATCCGAGTAATAGAGTTCACTTTTAGATCAACCATCGATCGGGTCACATAGTTAGGTTAGTTATTAAGAAATATAATGTAATTTTATTTCATTAAATTAGTATTAAGTAAATTTTGGTTTTCTTTGAAATCTCCGGCTGCAGCTTCTATAATTGGCGCAGTCGGTAGGATACTCGATAGGGTAGCTAGGAAAATACTTTTTTGGGATTTTCGCTACCGTGCGCGAGCGAACGGTATCTCGTCGCGTCACGTCACGTCGAGTATCTCACAAAAGAACCTGAGGCCGCAGTACCGGAGACGAATCTAAAAATCGATCCACAAAGAAAGCTGAAATACAGAATAAACTGTAAGTACATTGAATATTTCTTTATTCGTGTTGCTATTCCTAGTTCCTAGATCTTGTCAAAATTTTCAAAAATCAGAAACCTGTTAATGACGCGTCCGCGATCCAGCAGACTCGTCGACAACGTAGGTTAGACGAAAATAGAATAATAGATAGTAGTTTAGATTTAAATATTTCATTAGAAAATCATCATTAGGATTCTTTATTCAATCAGGCAGCATGTATCATACTATTTTAAGTACAGTAGTGTAAAAAAAAAATGTTAGGAAAACTTAGGGTAATTTAGGGGTAAGTTAGAACTATTGGACTATGAATAATAAGTTAGTTATAGTGTTTAAATTTCATATAATAGCGATATAATCCTTTAACTTATATTAAATATCCTTAACACCCAATCAGGTCCTTTTATTCCTCTATCCATATATAGCAACCGAAGGGAAGTCATTCATGTACATGGAGGCTGAATGCCCGAAGGTAGAAAATCAGCATCTTTGTGTAGAAAATATTAATAATCATCTTTATTATCAGGACGATTTTATTCATTACCTTATAACAAACCAATCATTAGATAAGAACTGCAACTTAACCACAATCGAGTTGAAGAAAATTAAAGAAAATGAACTACGAGATGTAAAAAAAAAAGACTACTGCTTCCGCAAGGCTCCAGCTAAATTCTATAGACTCACAAGTACTTCATAGTATGTATTCTAGATAATGTGATGATGCAGACTCCGGTTATGCCAATGAAAAATGAAGATGGATCACTGTACCATGCAACTATTCCGTGTTACTCGCTGCTGTTGAGTGGTGGCGCTCTTGGAGTTTTAATATCATTGTTATAAGATGAATGAACTTGAAAAGAAATTAGATAAAATGTCCAGGATGCAAAGCCTTAATATGAAGATGTAAAAAAAATCGGATGCAAGAAACATCCAGCAATATTCTCTAAAAGAGTTTAGATAATAATTGCTGATCTTCAGGAGGGAGGTGTTATAGTCGGGTCACACACACTAAAGGAATCTGCTGACATATAACATCGTTGCACACGGTCCCATTGTTGGAGTGACCGAAATATTACCAAAACTGCTGATGCAGCGGCACGTGGAGCAACAACGGACGTGGAGGCAATCCGAGTAATAGAGTTCACTTTTAGATCAACCATCGATCGGGTCACATAGTTAGGTTAGTTATTAAGAAATATAATGTAATTTTATTTCATTAAATTAGTATTAAGTAAATTTTGGTTTTCTTTGAAATCTCCGGCTGCAGCTTCTATAATTGACTGGCTGTGCTCATTAAAGAGGAAGATATATAAGGAAGGGTACATTAAAATTCTAGCAATGTTAAAATCTATTAATTAAACTTTATATTCCAGATTAAACAACAATGTTTAGCAGCAGGTATAAGAGTGACAGCCACTGTTTGCAAACAGGCGAGCTCTTTATATTTCGGGTGCAACTAAAAACTGTCCATACATAATTATAGACAACAAAGAAATTTTCACACTCTTTGACACCCCTCATCAGCTGAAATGTTTCAGCAATTTATTTATAAAATATGATATAGACTGTATGCTCAATATTACATCTGATAATGAAGCAGGACGAGGTATTTTGTAAAAGTTTATTATGAATTCATGCATTAACAGAATATCATTTAATAGAATAATAGGAGAATTAACAATATGTATGGTTATTTCAGGTGTTGCAAGGTAGTCTCATGTAAAATTTTTTGAATTAGATAACGTTTGTTAAAATATTGTTACATTATACTCTACAATAAATCAATTATTTATGGTCTGTAAATACAAATTTACTATGACTTTTTCAGGATTGCTCACAAATGATGCTGCTGTAACATCAAATGTCATATCGCAAATCGACAAACTTTTTGACTCCTTGAACTGCGACACACCCGACCTGCGACGTGGAAAATTACATGTTAAAAATATGACGGCGAGAAGTCCACATGTGGAACTCTTTTCTGAGATGAAACTGAAACTGAGATGATTTTTGAAAACATAAGTTTTTGGGAAGTCCTCGAGTCCCCGTCGGGACGGAAGGATTTGGACCATCAATGGAGTAGAATATTAAAACAAGAATCCAGAATTGAAAACATTAAAAGTTTACCAACAAGGCGTTTACAACAAGATGCGCTTGAGAATTTGTTTGTTTACATTCGTGGTAATTGTGGTTCTAATACAAAATTCAATAAGTTCCATTAAGCAATATGGCTCACATAGGATCATCTGGAAATTGTGAAATCGACAACGTTATAAATAACTTCAGTATGTTTTTGTCATTTTTACCACCCAATCAAAAACAAGACAATTTGGAGATACAGGAACTGTCTGTAGAAATAATCTAATCTTCTCCCAGTACAGAAAAGGAACAACTTCAGGTTTGTGCATATGTGTAAGATTTTTATTAAAAAGAATCCCAAATACAAACTGTAAAGATTGTAAGTCAGTTCTTGTGTCTCCAGGTTATAATTTAAGTCATATGTTTCTCCAATACAAACAATAAAATGATCACAAAAATAGTTTTAATTATGCGAGTCAGAACATAATTGAATGTGTAGAATAGTGTGCAAGAAATATAAATTACGTGCATTTTTATTGTTTTTAAATAAAAATGCACGTAAGATTTAAAGAAATGTATCATAGAAAATGTAAAATCTAAAGTAAATTTTGAATTACTTCATCATTGCACAATGAATAGAGATGAAAATATAAATTTTATCCTAAGCGATGTATTTTATATATATATGTTACGCTCAAAGATCGAAAACGCTCAGTGAGCGGAAAAATAGCTCACAACGCGTTGTGGTCACAGTAAAACATCCACATGGCGAAATTCGTGTTATGGCTCTAATGAAAACGCGCACGACGCGTTGTGGCAATCACAGAAAGACCAAATAGCGATATTCGTGTCGTGGCTGACATGCTATTCGATCTCAACGCGTTGTGGCAATGAAGAAAAGCCATCACGCGTATGGAATATTATTTGATTACGACGCACACTACTTTCCGATATGGATCCTACTAGGCCTAGGCTGGAAACGTTTTGGTAGATGTCCTTAGGAAATATTTTTTATTTTATAAAATCACTGCATAACGTGTTTGTTATTATGAAATATATTATATAAATTAAAATAAAACGATATTTGTTGTTTATTGAGATTACTTTATATTTAAAAAAATCAACGTATTAATATTAAGTAATAAATTACTGAACACAAAATGTTAATCATTTGTAAATTTCTTACAATTCACTTAAAATAATTAGGGATTTTAATTTTTTTATGACAATTTAAATTCTTTCAAGTAATAAAAATATTTAACACAAACATAAATGTTTATTGTCCACCAATAAACAACAATAATGTACTTAAAATAAGTATTTGATTGCTATTTATTTTTACAGGAACTATTACTGTGGCATTTGGAGTTGCATTTTATATTCTTGGAGCGACACTTGCACTTTTTATCAATACAGTATCTTTTGCAGTGGCACATTATAAACCCTTGCTTACTTCCAGATGATAACATAGATGCTGAGCGGAGTGTTAACGACGAAGTTGAGGGCACATCACAAATATTAATAAAGTTGGTTTCACAAAGTGTAAACTCTTTACGTGCATAAAGTCTGTCGAATGTACCTTCTTTGTTTCCTAACTGGTAGAGACCTGATGGATTAATGCTCATAACAACACACATGACATCCCTGGGTGCTGCACGTCCTCTATCAACTTCAGGAACGTCTAACGAAAACGTTAGAACCAACTTCAACACAGGGAAATTTTGAATTAGACGGTGAAACCATTTTGTTTGCCTGTTCCTGTAGACCTGATTTAGCACATTCTCTTTCAACATTTATTCTGTACTTTCTGAAACAGAGCTTACAAGTTACATTTGCTCCAAATCCTTCATTCTCATTGCTTTCTCCGCAGATAACGTGTACATATTCATGACAGTCTAAGCACTTGTGAGCTCCTGACGTCTCATTTTTACAAACAGCACATAACTTCAAACTTTCAGCTTTTCCTAAATCAATATTTGCATTGGCCGATTCCTGTATTTTTTCATCATTGCCCATGTTTCTTGATTCTTCTATAACGTCAGTAATAACTGACACGTTTAAATTCTGTAATTTGTTTAACTGTTCATCATTTTCTATATTCTTCTCGTTGTTTTGAACATCATTTTTAATGGAAGATAGAACCAAATCTTGTAACTCTTCTTCAGTTCCTATGGAAGCATACACATCACCAGGAATAGATGAATCAGCAAAACCTATTTTTTGTGCTGATCCAAATATAGCTTCGTAAGGACTTCTCTTAAGCGCATGATGAAGAGCACGATTTTTTTTACTCTGAATAAATCGCAATCCTTCTGACCAATTTTGTGAATTATTATCAGCCACAGAAAAGAAATGAATAAAACTGATGTTATAATGCGTCGTTACACCCGAGCCGACATCGACAAGTTACAGCCTGTCCGTCGTGATATGGTTAAAACAATGAATGCTCAGAACGCATCATGGCTTTTCTTCATTGCCACAACGCGTTGAGATGGAATAGCATGTCAGCCACGACACGAATTTCGCTATTTGGTCTTTCTGTGATTGCCACAACGCGTCGTGCGCGTTTTCATTAGAGCCATAACACGAATTTCGCCATGTGGATGTTTAACTGTGACCACAACGCGTTGTGAGCTATTTTTCCGCTCACTGAGCGTTTTCGATCTTTGAGCGTAACATATACATAAAATGATTTTGTATTTTATAGATGCATAAAAAAATATACTGTTTGCAGATTAAGCATCAGCATCTGCACTCAAAAGAAAGATGAATATCATTTTACATAAATAGAATATTGTTATAATTTGACGAATACCGTGTTGGAATAGCACTGGTTTTCATGGTTTCGAGATATATAGGCGTCATATGAGGTACCAGGTTCTATCAAATCAAATAATTTATTGGCCATATAACTCAGAAGGTTTACACTTGGCAAGTCTTTTACAATAAGCATTTCAAATTAAATATAAAGGTTCAAATCATGCAGGTCAAATCATTGTAGGAATGTCAAATAAAATAAGTATTTTAACAATGTCAAAATGGTTATTTTTTAGATTCTTAATAATAAATTATATCACAATCAATTAAATTACATTAAAAAATAAATTATAATATATACCGCGTGTTACAAAAAAACCCGTTACCCCGAAAATGGCATTGAGTATACATAAAACTGAGATAATGGACGCTGTCCTTTATATCGTAGCCATTGTATTTATTGAAAAAAACAATATCGAAGTTTAGCAAAATTTTCGATACCATTTATCGAAGCACACCGACATTATGATCAGCTGTTTCAGTTCATTGACTTCTAAATCAAAGACTATTATTTTGCCAGACTGGTTATATCTACTGGTATTTAGTGCCTACGTCACAGTACAGCGAAATAATTTATCTAGTTATGTGTACATACACAAATATTCGAACATGCAAAATATTAGACGAAAACATTATTTTAAAACTATTTCCAAAATTAGTTTTTATTCAGATTAGAGCTCCCTTTCCAATATACCTTGCCATATTACTATGCCCGTGCTACGCACATATCAGGCACGGAAACAAACAATAAACAGTACGCTATAGTCACTGCACTGGATTAAATACTTTCGCCTGAAATGCTCGTACAATATCTCTTTACGAACTGTAGACGGCCCATCCAAAATGATAATCTTTATAATTAATGCTACGACACGTCACTCAATAATGTACTCATAAAATTAATTTCATCTAATCTAAAAAAATAGAGAAGCAGAGGAAGACGAAACATCGCGACCTCTAGATAAGTAGAATATTCGTTATTGCACGAACAATTTTTTTTCATAATTAGGTAGTTTCATTTTTATGAAAATAATTACAATATTATGAAAGTAGGCGACGTATATCACTGAGTGTCTTCCAGGTAACTTTGTCTATCTGTAGCTGCTTCATCTTTGAACCAGAATTTTTACACATCGTGTCTTTAAATCATGATAACCTGGTACTCGTACCTACAATATTCTGTTACGAAAGTAAACCTAATATGACGTCAGCGCAGATACAGTCGGGGAATAAATTGAAACATTGATAAATATTCGTGTACATATTTCAATTGTGTTTATGGTCAATTTATTTCTATTCTAATATTTTTACAATAAAAAGATCAGACTTAAAATGGAATATGAACCTTAATCGAGAATATGATCATTCCCGATTATGGTTCCAACCACTTACTCTTACTACATGTAAATTGTTTCAAGTAAAATGGATTGCTACCTTAGAGTTAATGATATGCACTACACTTAGGTATGTTAAAAGCGTCTGACAAGAAAAAATGCCGACAAAGAGCCGCTTTCTGAATTGAGAAAAGTACAAAATCTCAACTGAATATTCTCAATAACTGAAGTTTTTTTATATTTCACTAGTCAAAAGTCCTAGTTTTATCAAACTGCTAACAACTAATTATAAAAAAATAACCGGCCATGTGAGAGTCTAACTCGCGCAGGAAGGGTTGTATCCGGTGCTAAGAAATAACTTCATTAGCTTAACTCTTAAAAATATTTTTTATTGTTTAGGTATTTTACGTACGACAAATCAATACATAATCGGTAAAATCGAGCCTAAAACAAATTCACTTATTCCCCCGAGTGTACAATGACGTAAGATAGAGATAGAGAGGGAGGGAAAGAGAGAGAGAGAAAGAAACGAAACATTATCGTTCGTGTTTGTGTGATGTCGCGCGCGAGTGACGACTTGACGCTAGATACGGTAGTAGTAAACATTTGGTACGGATTTTAATTTATTATCTATTTTATTACTGTGGGCTATTCAACTGAATTTTAGAATCAGAGTATAGGATTCACTATTTTAATGCTGTAAGAAATGAAAATGAATGAGACGTTTTATTATGTACTGTTTACCTATTTCCTTAAATAGAAAAAGCCCTAAAACGA